TGCTTCTAAAATAATCTTAATAATGTTCAATGAAAGAGACCCACATCATACCAGTTTCATTTGAGATTAATATTATGCTTAAAAGAAACGCATAACTGCTTTGTGTGTATGTTTGTTTGTGATTTAATTGACATAATAATCCCCCAATCGATACAATTTAGATCATTTAGGTGGCCGGCTTCCTACCCTGCCTGTCAAGGTCAACCAGCGCTGAGAGATAATAAATATATGCAACATCCCAGCAAGAAAACCGAGATATTCGAAAAAACCGTTTCCCCCCTCTCGGGTATCGAACCCTAGGCCCCTGACTGTGGCAACGAATCGTGTGACCACTACACACAGACACCGGTACGTACTTACCACCAAAAAACCACCAACACAAAACCGCAGCAAATTAAATCTTTAAACTTCAGGACACCCAACGAAGCTTTACTTTTTGGGGACAAATTAAATTTTGAAAAACGTGATTGAATCTTAGAGATAGTGGGTGGCTGGCGGGTGCTCTGGGGCGATGTGCTCTTTTTTCCCCTCTATAAAACATTTTTTTCCTCATCTGTTTCCTTCTTTTTCGTGTTTGTTACTACTGTCTAGTAACACCTCTAATCTTCGGCACTAGTAATGACTAATAAAACCTTATTATTTTGTTGTAAGTGCCGTTCAACTCTTACTGAAACTAAAAACGAAACTTAGAGCTAGGCTAGTACTACTGTTACTACACTCCTACTGTATACAAAGCACACGACAGTATCCTTCGACACAGTAAAACGTACATACATATAATATAAATAAGTAATATTATTCTGACGGGCGCGGCAGCTGTTAAGGTGACCTCCCGCCCCGCGGTCGTAAACGGCGGACATGTTATTTGTAGCTATCACTTCGATCTACACAGCCGTACATCAGACTGCTGAATGAAGAGGACTCGTTGTGAAAGGATCGGCTCTCAAGTGAAAGTCTTCACAAATCCTACGACGGAAGAAACGCTGTTTTGGTTTTTGTCGTTGTTGTTTTTTTAAGGC